CCCGATGACCCAACATGTCAACTTAATGCAAACAAGTCAAGACAGATGTGAAGGTGGGATGGGAAGGGCAGGATACAAAAAAGAGATGTTGGAAGAAAGATTGCGTGAACGATCTGTGTGTGTGTGTGCGTGACAGAGTTGTGTGTGGAAGTTTGTGTAAACATGTTACAGTGTGAAAGAGTTGTATGTGACAAAGTTGTATGTGCGAAAGGTTGTGTGTGAAAGAGGTGTGGTCAAAGAGTTTTGTGTGAAAATTGTGGGTAAAAGAGTTGTGTTTGACAATGTTTCGTGTTGCGTGTGTGTGTGTGTGTGTGCGTGTGCAAGTTTGTGTGTGTGTTCGAGTTTGTGTGAAAGTGTTGCATGTGAAAAGAGATGTGGGCGAAAGAGTTTTGTGTGAAAGAGCTGTGTGTTCAACTTAGTGTGTCTATGTTCCAGTTTGTGCGTGAAAGAGTTGTGCGTGAAAGTGCTGCGTGTGAAAGAGATGTGGGCGAAAGAGTGTTGTGTGAAAGAGTTATGTGTGAAAGAGAGGTATGTGCAAAGGTTGTGTGTGAAAGACTTATGTGTGAGCGTGTTGTGTGTGTGTGTGGGAAAGAGTTGTGCGTGTGTGTATGTGACAAGTTTGTGTCTGAATGCATTGCGTGTTGGACTTTGCGTGTTCAATTGTGTGTGCGCGAAGGATTTGTTTGTGTTGATTTTCGAGTGGCTATGTTTTAAGGAGGCCACAAGTGTTTGGGCCTACCTTTTGAAAACCGGCTGGGTGATACATGAAAAAACGCTGTGAAAAGTGTCTCAACTACTTCTGGTGGTGCTAATTCCTGAGACATAAAAAACTTCGGGTTGCACTATTTTTAGGCATCATAACTTGGGGACTACGGACTATGAAAATGACATCTCTTCTGCAATAATTATGAAGATCTAATAATAACTCTTCACGACGTTGGCGTTGTTCTTCTATTTTTGTCATGGCCACGTCCATCATGGCAAAGCCAAAGCACTGGTGGCTACAGCCATAGAAAGCCAGAGCGAGTTTGATCAAGGAAACGCCCACAAGATCCCAAGGAGATAGTAATGATGGTAACAACATTGAATGAATCCAGCCCGTGAGAAAAACACAAAAGATCCTGCAATTAACTGAATGAGTTGCATGATGTCAGAAACTGGTAAAGGTGATCAAATTTCGGTCAAGGTGGTCAGAAGTTGGTCAAGTTGGTCACAACTTGGTCAAGTTGGTCAAGTTGGTCAAATATTGGTCTAGTTGGTCAAAAATTGACCAGCTTGGTAAAGTTGGTCAAAAGTTGGTCAAGTTGGTCAAAAATGACCAACTTGGTGCTTTTTAGGGTCATGGTGCCCAACCCCTTTAGTTGCTGTGCTGAGAACTGATGATGCCCAAAAATCCACTTGATTTGCTTGATGTGTCCATCTACTCGTTTGTAAAGTTGAAAAGCCTAGATTTGGAACTTCGTTCTCACAAGCCAATGAAAATCACGCGACAACCGGTGACCGGCTGCAAAGGTGCATTGTCAGTGTTTCAATCTGCTCGAAGGCTTGGGCCATGTAGGTGGATATCCTTACGCATGACTGGCTGACCGCGCCAAGCACACCTCATGCTTTGACTTTGGAAAACAATGTTTCCCCTTGCATTCACGCGCCAGGCAGCATTACCATACAAGACACTTGCAGCCTAACTTGATCCGATTGCCCTATTTTTTGGCCGCTTCGCACGTCACAAAAAATACCACAAAACACACCCCTGATTCTTGCAATTTGCAAGAACCAGGTGTGTGTTTTGTTGTTTTTTTTTGATTTTTGTGTCCACTAAATCCCAGAAACGGCCAGAAGTACGATCACAAGCAAAAGGAGTTCGAAACTACGCCATTCTATTCTCATCAGCACTACTCTCACAATTCTCACCATTCTATCTGGGCGCGGCCGTGGCGCGTCTGCAGCAACACAAATCTCAAAGCTCCTTTAGGAACGCCTGCCCTGACGATCCGCTCTGTTCCTGGCAAACCGCGTCAGGAACAAAGCACGGCACACCGCACAGATTTGACTGTTCAAAACAAAGGGAATTTCCGGTTGGATCATCAATGCTGCTGGTTTGTCTGGATGACTCCGCCCTCAGCTGGGTGGGTCGGGGGTGGTGCTCCGTACTTTTCTGTTTTGGCGCTGCCCGGGCAAACGCGAAAACTCCAAAAGTCGAAAAGTAGTGGATTCTCAAGGGCCGGGCCCGAAAACCCATAAACCCCGAAAAGTCGGAAAGTCGAAAAGTGAAAAACTGACATAAACTGGCCACTTTTCTCGAAAACAAAAAGCGAACTTGCGTGATTTTTCCCCACATTGACGTGTGGGGTTTTTGTTTTTAGTTCTGTATCCGCCGCCGCCGCCTCCTCCTCGCCCGCCCGTCCTCCCGTCACTCACTCACTCACTCACTCACTCACACTCACTCACACTCACTCACACTCACTCGCACTCACTCACTCACTCACTCCCTGGCACACACACACACACTCACTCACTCACTCAACTCACTCACTCTCACTCACTCACTCACTCACACACACACACACTCACTCACACTCACTCACTCACACTCACAACTCACTCACACTCACTCACACTCACACTCACACTCACACTCACACTCACACTCACACTCACAGTCACACTCACACTCACACTCACACTCCCTCACTCCCTCACTCCCTCACTCCCTCACTGACTCACACTCACTCACTCACTCACTCACTCCCTCCCTCCCTCCCTCCCTCCCTCACTCACTCACTCACTCACTCACATCATGGCAGGCGTGGGACAATGTGCACTGTCAAGGGCCTCTTTTGCGTGGCAGGCGTGGGACAATGTGCACTGCCAAGGGGTCGG